GTTAATCTGTCTCAGGTCAGTTTGATTATTAGACCAGCCAGAAGAACCTAGAAAGGTAGAAAAAATAATTCCACGCCCCCCCAAACATTTATAAGAGGGATAACTCATTCGTGCATGATGAAGTTGGAATTCTGAAGCAAAGTCTTCCAAATTTAAAATAATTTTAAGAACAAACAATACCAAAGAAATATCGCAAGAGAGTAAAATCCTATAACAAATTCATCTCGAAATGTTTAGTTTGCCTTCTGGCACTCCCAAATAACAAACCAAGATTTAACATCCTTTCTCCACAAAAATGTTTTCTAAGACTCACTTCAATAACTCAGACTGAAACAATGACAAGTGCGTCAAGCAAGGCCTAAAGCGGTCTGAGATCCTATCAGGTAAATGCAGGTTATTTGCCAGATTTGCCAGCAAAAAACTCTAGGTGTGGGTGCAACTCCTTTTACAGAGCCAGGCCCTAAAACATAGGCTAACAATGCAGCCTTAGTGTGTTGAAGGAAAGCCTGTAGTGATTGGGGGTTCGGGTAGTGGTGGGAGGTTGGGGTAGTGGTGGGATTAGTATATGGAAGTATATAGAACTTCACACTACATTCTAAACAACGAGAACAGCTATAGCATTTCTTGTTCTGCTTTTTATGTGTGTAAACATCATAAATCCCATCTTTACTCAAGGCTGCATTAGAGTAGTATTGTATTTTCTTTAATCAAGAGAATAAAACTGATGAAGGGAAACACATTGGTTGATTGCCAGCTGTGAATCAGACAGTCTTGTGTTTTATACGCACCTAAGTCTTCCAAAAAAGTTGAGGTAGACAATCTTGTAGGAAAGACTTGAAAGTTAAATCAGTATCTAATAATGTAAAATAATATATCCTGCTCATTCTACCTTTGAGGAAATTAAAGCTCAGAGAGGTAAATGTTGCTAACATTTTAATTCGCTAACATTCTGTAGCCATTGAAGGATTGGACATCATAGAGACAGTATGCCACGATTTGCATTTGTTACACTCTCTCACCCTGTCGTACTTTCACACAAATATTCCCCATGGGAAAGCTTTTTCTCAGCATTTCCACCTACCAAATTCTTACAAAACTCAACTGTAACTTAATACACAAACATACACACACAGAGACTTGCAGGTAGCCTAGCACAGACTTTTATTTAGAATTCATAACTTTGTTTAGATTAACTTTTAAACCAACTTAGATCACCTTGGATGTTATAAGGTTTGTGTAACCATGTCCTGTAAGTTGCTAAGAATTTAACAGAAGGGCTGAGATTCAAACTTTTTTTCCCATACCTATGTCATCCCTGACGTTGAAGAATGCCCAAATTGTCTTTTCAGGGATAAACCCAGAATGATTTGCAGAACCAGGGGTCTAATCCATCTCGAACCACCTGAGGCTGGCCAAAGAGGCCTGGAGGACTCTATACTGACCTCTTTTTAAATCATTCTTTTTATACCCTCATTATAATACTAAAATCTCCTCGCAGGGGCACAGATTTTCTGCCATTTTTTCACATGCGAGGTATGTATAGGCATGTTTTCTAACTGCATGTGCAGGTATGTCCCCATCTGTACATGCGATAACAAAGCTCAAATGTATATGCATAACTACCCTGAATAAAAACGAATCCAATTCTTTGTTCAAGGATACGCTGCTTTAGGTAGTGACACCCTCCACACACGTTTGTCCTTGCTTGCCAGCTGGAAATAAAGTACCTTCCTTCTCATAAAAGCTTTTTGGAGTTGTCTTTTGGTTGGCAACTACTGAGTAATTAGACCCGGTTTGGTCCAGTAACAGAACCTTTAAAACTGGAACTAAATTTTAACTCCTTTGAGCCTCCCCTTGTTGATATTTAGAGCTTCTCAGGTCCCAGCATTCCCTTTTCTACCTTTCTCAGAGCTCTTATCACTCTGTTGTAGTTATTCCTATGTCTGTTACCTGAACTATACCATAAGTACTTAGAAGGCAGAATATGTCCTTTTCTTTCTTTGCATTCTGCTGTCAGGCAGTTTAACATATAGCAAGAGGTTGAAAAAAGTTGAGGGGAAGTCAGAGTATGAATAAATATGTTACGGCTCCAAGAATTGCCTTTCTTCTCCTTTCTTCCTCCAGACAAGTCAGTTTGTAAATAAATAATCATCTTAAGTATAACTCTAAAGTCTGCACAAAAAGCAAAAGACATATGTAGGAAAAATATTCTTGCCTATAGAAGTACGTTTCAATTTTTATTCAAGCAGCCTAAAATCCTATCAGCTTTCCGGGCGCTCACAACTCATCGATGACCCCACGGAAACATACAGTCACTTAACCATGAGGTTGACTGATTAAATTAATTACAACTTCCTCATTCTGTACTTGCTTTTTAAATATCCACACATAGGACTTTACGTTTTTCCAGGTTAAATTTCATCTTGTTAAACAAAAGAGGAGGGATATCTGTGTTGAAAACAAACAATTCCTACTGTTAAAGAGAAAACCACAGGCCTAAAATGTGTCACACTTGCTGAAAAGCCCATGATGCCAAACCTAGATTTAATACTTGATCTAAGTGCAGTTTCACCACTCTCAGAAACATAATCTTCACCAGTCTGGCATTTTCTGGTCAACACCAGTGAGGCAATCTGTCCCTAGGGCCCCCTTCTAATCCCCTCACCCTACAGAAAGACGCAAACTTCATGATGAATGCCCTCACACACAAAAAAAGTCCCTGCCCCCAATAATCCTTTATTTTCTTTTGTTAATAATTCCCTTGCCCTATCCTTCTTTCTATAAAGACCTTCCATTTTGTACAACCCTTAAGAGCACTCGTACTTGCTGGATGTAATGCTGCCCCATTGATGAATCTCTTAATAAAGCCAATTAGATCTTCAAAATTACTCAGTTGAATTTTGTTTTTTAACAGTACCATTAATTAGGGTGTAGACAGAGTGTCACTTACATTATGATCATAACTTCCTTTGATCTTTGTAATGACCCTAAGCATTATTATTATCTTTATTCTAAACTTGACGAAAATGAGGCTTAGAGAATGTGTACCTTGTCCAAGATCGGAGCTAGAAAATGATGACAGATTCATCTCCAAAACTCATTCTCTTAACCACAGCACTAAACTGCTTACTTAGGTGGGGTAGGGGCAGGGCCCAGAATGTTAGGACACCCTCGGGAAAGAAGAGCAAAACTCTAGAAGAGATATTTCTGCAGAGCTGTGATACCTAGCTCTAGAAATAAGAATTTGCCTTTTATAAAAGAGTTCAAAGGAACCTGAATGTCCTTTAAGACCAATGACAATCTCCTTATTTTGAAGACAAAAGTGGTGCACATAAGTTAAAGGACTTGCCAGGACCCAAGAATTAACCTGGGGACTTGCCACAACTTCAAAGCTGATCTGGTACTAGAACTCGGTGCACAGATTCTTTTAGTCCTGATTCCCACCTCCTCTTCCAGCCTCCAATTCAGTCTAGAACAGAACTAAATCTAAAAATACTAACGACTGCGAAAACTGTACATTCAAAACAGGGCACCAGAGGTGGACTTTATAAAGCACTAACAAATTAATAAGATGCCACAAATTGTGAGTAACATTAAAAAACAGAAATAAGTGACTTTTCAAGCCCCAAAGACATCTGAATATAGCTCTTTGGAAACCTTGAAATATTCCTAGTATCATTATTTCCAAGGTTCCATAAAGTAATTTCATAATTTAAATGCACTTCTTTTGCAGTTGGCCACTATTAACTAGGATCTCAGATTTCTAAGACATTCACTCCATTGGGTAGAAATTTCAAACAAGGAGAGACTTAATAGTTGATGTTTTGTTAATATAATAATTATAATTGTAAAATAACTTCCTTAAAAGACTTGAAAATATTAGAATTCAACAGAGTCCCATTCATTGCAGTTAAAAAAAATAATCATCATCATTTTACTATACCACTTCACGGAGTTTCTTTTTCTCCTCCAACTCTGTTTTCTTTACAGTATTGGTGCATTTTAATATTGAAGACTAAGGAACAAGTCACAAGATCAAATTAACCACAAGTATTTGCATGACAAAAGCGGTTGCATTCTTGAGCCTAGGTGAAGAGTAACAACAAGGTACCGCGAGGGGGTAGGAAGCGGGGCTGGCGGGGGGAGGAGGAGGAGGATAGGAAAAGGATGAAAGGAACTAACACTTTGCAAACCCTTTCTCGTGGTAAAAATATTCCCAACAGATGACCTAGTCTCCAAGAATCACCTGGAACTCATTTAGCATAAAAATGAGAAGGGAATAAAAAGTTGAGGTCACTGTACTGCAACGTTCTCTTCTTAGTTAACTTATTAGAAATGTACAAAAAAAAAAAAATGCTCTAATGAATGAGGGCGGAATAAGGAAGTACCCATCGCGAAGGGAGTATTCCTGGTACACCTTCTTCAGATTTTTCATCAATGCAGACATGTCCCCCTTTCTCCTTTATTTTCCTGCCCCTTGTCTGACTTTTGCGACAAGTCTTGTGTCCGCATTCTTTATTGCTGGCTCAGCCGCGCGTGCGCCGCATGAAAGTTTTGCCGGGCCCGCTCCCCCGACCGCCCCCAAGCTGCCACACTTGCTTTGGCTCACGGCCACCAGAGGGTTTCCCAAGCTACGGGACTCTCCTTGGAATTAATTCAGTGGACTCTGGTTCCATAGAAGCTCTATTTCCGAGTCCCAAGAAACTCTCTCAACAGGGTCCCTAAAAGTCTCTGGGAGCCGACTCCTCCCAGGATCACAGGTAGGAATACTGAGGCCCTTACCGACCCCGACCCCTACCCCTACCACGCATGCACGCGCGCGTATACACGTATACACACAAACACACACACACACACACACACACGATAGGACCGTAGATGAGTGGCTCTGGTCACTACGACTGTGACATCTGGACAACAGTTTGAAGAGGGAATTCTCCACGTGCAAAAACTTGGAGCAAAAGAAGAGGATATAGCCAGCAACTGTTACGGGAGCTCACCTTCCTTCCCCGCCCCTCAGTATCCAAACACCCGGCCGACGCGGGTTCTGAGAGCGGGTAGGCGAGCGGCGGCCAGAGACCCACCGCCTGGGACCCGAAGCCTGAGCGGAGCCCAGCGGGCGCCCACCTTACCCGAGCCGCACTGCGGCGGAGAGCCTGGGACCGCAGCCTAACAGAAGGTCCGCGGGACAGCCCGGCAGCCTCTCTGGATGCCCCGGGACACGCCCCTGACACGCCCCGGAACGCCCCGGGCACGCCCCGGACGGCTCTCCTTTCCCCCCAGCCCAGTCTCGGCCCCCCTCCCGGCTTGGCTCTGGCCCCGCCCGGCCGCGCTCGCCCGGCTCCCTCCGGCTGCAGCCGCCCAGGGCACCTGCGCTCCCTCCTGCTCTCACTGGAGGCGGAACAGGCCCGCCCACAGCCTTCGAGGTGCCGGGTCCTTCCAGGGTTGATGAATGTTCGAGTTCAAGGTAGGCCAGGTGGCAGGACTCGGCCTCGACTTTCGATAAGGGCTGAGAGGACGTTCCCCTCAAGACTGCCTCTTACTGCAGGGAACAGTGAGATTCAGGTAACTAGAATGGGTGGAAAACTTAACATGGAAACCAGTGCCCTAACCTTGCTATAAATGGGCCGAGTACCACAGTTGACGGGGTGGTTTAGAAATATGGGAGGAACAGTTCGTTTTTCTTCAGAGTTCTCAGTTATTTTACTTTACCCTCCAAACCCTCTGGACAACTTAGTCCTAGATTCCCAGAAGCAGGTGGGGAGAGATTTTAATCACTCCCTTGTCACTGAAACCTGGCTTCCCAAATACTAAGGATATTTGGGCAGGCACCAGTTTTAGGTCTCCTCTGAGGTCAGAGTTCACATGTCTTGGATCTTCCCATGTGAAAGCCCTTCCACTCCCACATTCCTCTCACCTTCACCATCCTCTGTGACAGGTTAGTTCCTACACTTGTTCATCTGGAACCTTGCTTTCTCCAGGCAGGTTAGGTGTTCCTGCAGTTCACTATCTGATGCCTTACTTCCTCTGCTATAACCCTTGTCACAACTTATTGAAATTGCCTGTTTCATTGGCTTCCGTGCTTGACTGTCAGCTTAAGCACATAGTAGATACATAATGTTGTTGAATGAAATGCAAGTAACAGATTGTTAAAGCACCCCCAGACCCCAGTTCTTTAAGAAACTTCCCTCGCCTTTCCTTACTTTCTAAGTCTGCAGGGTTTTATTTCAAAATTAATCTGTCTATCCCCACTGTATCCCCAAGTCTTCATCCTACCTCTTGAGCAGAGTCTTCTTCAGTTTTCGCAAAGGTGCAGGTATGGAAAGAGCCCTAGACTTGATTTCTCTTGTTTGAACTCTGCTATAACTAGCTCTGTGGTCTTAAAGGCCCCCAGCCTCTCTGGGTCTCAGATCAGAGCCATAGATACTTTTAGGAGCCACAAAATGAAAAGAAAGGAAAATAAGAACTTTTAGGTTAAAGAAAGTGTTATACAACAGTTTTTTTGGTCTGTATACCAATACAGTCCTTGACAAAATTGAACTTTTCCCATGCACTGTAATCCTGGAAAATAGTAAAAGAATCTTCCTGCTTCTTTGTATCCTTGAAATGGTTTGCTACAAGGAATCATCTTAACCCAGATGATTTACATAAGACTTATTGATGAGAATTACCTTATCTCTGACTAAGTTAGACACAGACTCTCCAAATTCCTGTTTTTTAAATATTATTTCTGTCTGTAAAATGGAGAAGTTGAATTGGGTAGAAAGAAATCTTTTGGCTGCAAAACCGATGAAATCTTTTGGCTCAAGAAATCTTTTGGCTGCAAAACTGATGAATTCAGAAACAGAATTTCAAGACAACAACAACAACAAAAGTCAGACCCTATAGATTTCAACAGGAAGAGTGAGCTGGCAGCTGAGAGCCAAACTGGGCACTTGCAGGTGTTTTGTTTGGCTAGCCTGGTATTGTTGTTGTTATTTTTAAATTTACTTTGAATATCACAGGCCTCAACACACTCTACAGTCTTCACCATTTATATTACCTGTTTGGCCACTGAAGATATTTAAGTTTGTGTCCCTGAAATACTTTTGTGCTCTTGAGAAACTGCCTTGAATTACAACAATACCTCCTCCCTTTCCTCTCACCACGTCCATAGGGATAGAGTGATTTCTTTTAATCTCTATACAGTATGATTCAAGTATTTGAACAAAAGACAAATATTTCATTTATAGTTGAAATGTGTTTCTTTGGTGATAAGATGCTATCCAGTGCAACCCACTCTCCTCTTTAAGCACTGAAAGCTTTTTACCAGATAAAAATCTTTGGAGGGTGTGTGTAAGTTAACTTCAAATCAGAATAGATTCTCTAACATTATAATATAAAAATGAATGGAAATAATGCATAAAGAAATTAAGTTGGTCAATTCTGTGATAATAAAAAATAACTTGTGATGGTTTTAATACATGTCCAAAAATTTTATAGAGCCTAAAATTCAGTAGAGCCTAATTTCCCTTCCTTTCAGTGTAGGCTATACATTGTGACTGGCTTCTAGCAAATAAATTGTGGTAGAAACGATGGAGAGTAACTATCACATGTACATCATAAAATGACATTGTAACTTCCATCTTATTCTTACTTTCCTGGATCACTCTCTCTGGAAGAAGCCAACTAACATGTTAGGGCATTTGAGCAGTTTTACAGAGAGGTCTATGTGGTTAGGAAGTGAAACCTCCTGCCTAGCCATCAAGGAACTGAGGTTGCCTCATGTCAAGATATAGCATCATGGAAATGGATTCCCTAGTCCAAGCTGAGATGTTAACTGCAACCTCGTGAAAGCCTCTGTACGAGAACCACACAGTTCAACCACTCTTGAATCCAGAACCACACAGTTCAGCCACTCTTGAATCTCTAATTCACAGATATTCTGCAATAATAAATGTTTGTGGTTTTTAAGCCACTAAGTTTTGCAGTGATTTGTTACACAGCAAAAAAAAAGTAATACGAAACTTATTCAAGAACCTTTGCTGGTGATGACATGCTAAAGATGATAATACTAATGATATCAGGGATTTTTAGAGTTGTCTACATTACAGTGTTTTATTTATCTTCCATAACCCTTTTGATGACCCAAACTATATGGACATTTATTATTAATTACCCAGTCTTTGCCCCGTTTCCTCACACTCCTAACGAGGTAGAACTTATGTCTTCCTAGAGAAGCTGCAAAACAGTACCATTGCTTACTGTTTGCTACTCCATTATACACAGGACATGAGTACATGTTCTAGGTTGTGCCAATCAGATACATAGCCCCTGACAAACTACATCCTGGTGAAGGAGGAGGCAGCACTACAGCCACATCTGGTTTCCAGAGGCAGCAGTGTAATGCTTCAAGCAGCTGCATTTAACCACTAGCATCAGAGGTATCAGTGTCTGTGCCCAGTACTGGTGGCAACGATGCCTCCACAGTACCAATGCTGCAGTACGATTTTGGACTTTGTCATGATTGCATGACATCCAAACTTAGTTTTCTATTTTTTTCAAGAAATCCAATATCCTTTTATAAAATTCTTTTGTGTTTATATTAGCAAGTATTGCTTTCTTTTCCACACAATTAAAACCTTGACTGCTACAGGCAGATACTAACTATATTTTACAGATGAGAACATTGAGGACCAAAGTTGTTAAATGATGTCATTAGATATAAGTAATAGAAATGGAATACATAAATTAGTACAGATTGAGCTAAGCAATCAAACATTTAAATTTAGCATGTGAAAGATAAAGGGTTTATATATTTTAAAAACCTAATTATATTTTTCATTAAACCAGATGAAATTCTGATTCTCTGCTCTGACTAAATATTAAGTGCCAACATTACAGCTTCTAACCCCTTACTGCTTCAGAATGAACCATGATCTTCCAAGCTTTCTTGATATTGCATAGGTTCTTCTTCTTGCAAATACTTTTCTTTGTTACTGCCTCCCACCCATTTTAATCAATTTACCTCTTCTTACTTCAAAATTCAGATTTAGTGATGATTTCTCTTTCTAGCCTCTTCTGAGCTTTCAAGAATTATTCTCAATCTCTCCTCATGCTCTCCCAGGATTCCGTTTCTACTCATGATAAAATACTTACTAAGCTTATTTACCTCTCTGAACAACCACACCCCATCCCGACAAAAGAAACAGAAAGATTCCAGATTCTGCCCAACCAATGGAGCATTCCTGAAAACTAAAGGACTAGGACAAAGTTTACTTATTGATCAAGGACTCCTGTGCTTTAATTTCTGACACTTAGGTATATAATGCCATGCAGTATACTGGAGACATTTTCTCAAAAGAAAATTGAATGATTCTAGAAAAAGCCTGCAAGAAAATGAAATTTGCTAGTTTTTCAAATAAATGAGTGAGTACCCATCTGACTGTGAAGGTCACTACTTGACAAGGCCAGATCTTATACAGTGTCCCCTCAAATTTTAGTACCTCACTTTTACATTTTAATAAGAAACAAAGGATCACCAGAATTATGTGGAAACTTTCAACATGAAAGACATTAAAACATATCAATTAGAAAAGGGAAAAGAAGAAACACAATTCAGGGAGGAAAAGAAAATTTCAAATAAGAAAATCATATTCTTAGAAGCTGAATCTATGAAACAAGATTAAGGCACTAAGTGTTTTAAAAAAGAAATAAATAGAGAATGAATATGTTCTTTTGAATTAAAAGAATGCTAAAAATGTATATATTTCAATAGAAAGGTTAAAAAATTAGGTTTAGGCAATCTGTCTGAAAGTAAAAAGAAAAGATGTTGGTAGTGGGAAAGAAAAGCAAACTAAAAGATCAAACCAGGAGTTTCAACACCTTACCAGTTATTCCCCTATGAGTGAACAGAGAAAAAAGTAGAATGAGGATGACTAATTAAAAAATAAAATCTATAGGAAAAAAGAAAGGACATAAATTTTTAGATAGAAAGCACCTACTGAGTATGCCTAGGGAAGTAATAATAATAAACACTTGTGTGCAAATGTTTATTGCAGCTTTATATATAACCAGAAATAACTCAAATGTCCTTCAACTGGTAAATATACAAACTTTTATGCACCAAGGGAAAGACTCAATATTGTAAAAGTTTTCCTCAAACTAATCTATAAAATTGATGTAGTCCCGATCAAAACTTCATAAGAAGTTTTTATACAAGTT